AAATCAAAAAAATTTTTTTATTAAATTGGCTAAGCCACAATGTCGATCATCCAAATTCGGGTTTGTCCACCATGCTCATTTTTACTATGTTGAATTATGAATCGGTTCTCTGATTTTTCCCTATCGCTATTACAGTATTACAGTATTAAACTAAATACGTACTGTATGATTTACAGGTGGTTTTACAGATGAATAACCAATCAAATCAAATTTTGTTCTGTATAACGTTTTAGCCAATTAAAAAAAAAAGACGTCTGAAACAGTTCATGTAATCAAATAAACGAATCTTAACAATCTACATCGCATACACAAATCTGTTTTCCTGCAGACTAAATTCTGCTTATATTTCTGTTATTATACTTAGTCCTTTGAAAAATGGAAAGACTTGACGAAGACAGTGCCGATTTGAATTTTTTAGAAGAAAATTTAGAGAAAACTGAAGATTTAACTGAAAAAATGGTCCGTTTTTTTACTTATTTTTGTTGTTTGAACATTAGCTGTTATTCGTGTCAGAAGAATATTTAGACGGTTAATTTTTTTTCGATTGGCGCGATCAGACATTTGTAAGTGCACATTTTTACCATTTTATGCATATTATTTTTTGTCATAGACTAGCATGCTGAACGTGTTTGATGATCGATTAGTAAGATTGGAAGCTTCAATATTACCGATCCACAAGTCGACTCAGACATTAATTAAATTGGTGGACAGTAAGTATCCTTAATTCAGTTTTAAATCATATTTAGTTTTCCATATCATTTGTTTCCTACATCAATTATTCATATATATATAGATATTGACAAAACACGTAATGGTGTTGTCGAAATCATTGGATATTTTGATTTGGTTGAACGAGAAGAGGTGACTATAAAAAAAGGGTGAATATACTTTTTGATTTTATTTATTTATTTATTTTTTTTTTTTGTTTTTTTTGTTTTAGATTTTAACCTTTTATAACGGAATTTTGTTTTATCAGGCCAGACGGAAATGATTTGGATTCTTACTTAAATTCTATCGGCAAATGTAATAAAGCCATGGAAGTTTTGGGTGCAATGAATTTAAAAAGTAGTGAAAAAATTATTGGACAGTTGGTACAATCTACAAATTATTTATTTTAATGGCTTTTCTTTTTTTTTTTTTTTTTGTGTTAACCAGATCCTTATCCATCATTGTAGAAACAAATATTAAAAGCCGCAATGCTTCAATTAGAGGATCTTTTTCGACTTTGGTTAATAGAACGAAGTAACCCTATTGAACCACTTTCTTTTCTAACAAAGAGTAAGGCTTAAATCCAAACATGTAAATGTGGATTTCAACAAATATGTTACACTATATTTATTTTTGCTTGATAGAATTGGAGATACCTGGAATACCAATTTCTACTGCAAAAAACCTTGCGACATTATCTTCTTACCTTGCAACAACCGGTTTAGAACTCGGTTATACAAGCGAATTTGCTAAAGTATATATTGATGTTCGATCAAATTATCTCGTGAAATCATTAACAATGCTGGCTCAGGCTTCAATCAGCACTGCTGAAAAGAGAAGTACCCCGGTATATGAAAAGGGTACATGTGGTTTCAACTCATACACTGAAGCTGTATTAATGATGTTTATGGTATTACTTTTATATGTCATTTGTATTTATTTTAATTATAATTAAATTTATTTATTTATTTTTATTTTATTTTATTTTTATTTATTTTTATTGTTATTTATTTTTATTTTTTTATTTTATTTTTTTATTTTTATTTTCAATTTTTTTAATTTTTTTTATTTTTATTTTTATTTTATTTATTTTATTTTTTTTATTTTTATTTTTTATTTTTTTTTTTATTTTTATTTTTATTATTTTTATTTTTATTTTTTTATTTTTTTTTTTTTTTTTTTTTTTTTTTTTTTTTTTTTTTTTTATTTTTTTTTTTTTTTTTTTTTTTTTTTTTTTTTT